GAGGTGATAGGAGCAGCTCCTGGATTCTAGCGTTTTCCCATCACAAGACGGACTCCCTGTTAAACACGTCCAAGAGGAAAAGAGAGCATGACACTGGATCAAGAAGCTTCATGAATATTCTAGTCCATGACTCACTGCTGTGGGCTGGCAGCGGGGTGGGGGCAGGAAGGGGTAGGGCTCCCCTCACAAACAGCCAAACCAGGCAGGTGGCTCCCTGAGCCCTTCCAGGAACAGACAAGCCTCCTGCACTCCAACCGCAGTTGAATTTCTTAAATCAGTCAACAATTGAAAAATTATTCCAGGCCGGGCATGGTGGCTCATGCCTATAATCCCAGCACTTTGGGAGGCCAAGGTGAGAGGACTGCCTGAGCCCATGGGTTCAAGACCAGCCTAGGCAACTTGGTGAGACCTCGTCTCTACAATGAATCAAAAAAATTTAGCCAGGCATGGTGGCACACGCCTATAGTGCTAGCTACTTGGCAGGCTGAGGCAGAAGGATCCCTGAGCCCAGGAGGTTGATGCTGTGGTGGCTGTGAGCGTGCCACTGCGTTCTAGCCTGAGAAATAGATACGAAGTGCTGCAAACCCCATCGGGGGTTAGATCACAGAACACCCCATTGGGGGTTAGATCACAGAGACTGAGCAGAAGGCCATGGAGTGCTCCTGGTGGCTCTTGTGGTCACAAAATTCTCCAGAACTGGATGGGGCCCCTCACTACCTGCAGGAACCTGTGGCAGCAGGGGGATCCAGGATATGGAGGATCTCCCCAAGCAGTGGAGCCCCTGGGACCCTACCCCATGGAAAGGCTCCACATAGGGACCTCTCTGTCCTACATCCTAGGAGCAGGATGGGTGTCCCTCTCACCACCCCAGGCCATGGTCAGGAGAGGTGGCAGCCACTTCTGCAGCTGGTGCGTCTTGGAGAAGAACAGGGCCCCTGGGGGGACCCCAGGCCCCTCCACGCCATGACCCAGGGTCAGGCTCAGGTCCTAGGGAGCAGGGAGCTGCCACCTTAGGAGATGAGGGTCCTCAAGCACCGGCAAGACCCTTCAGAATGGGGACAGGCCTGCTCTAGAGTCAGATCCTCCTGGTTTGAGTTTTCTGGGAGAAAGCAGGCCCCACCTACTCTGCAAAGACAGCCTTTGCAGACGTGGGATTTCAGTTGGGGCCATGGCTCATGGGGAGAAACGCTCATTTTCCAAGTGATCCCAGAAGGCAATGGTATTAAAGTGCTCACTCAACACTGTCAGCGACGATGCCCTTGGAGCAGGCTCCAGGCTTTTCCCCACACCGCCCTGTCTATACATGCTCCTCAATCCTAAGCTGGGACTCACATTTCTAGCCAACATGTCATGTGTCCCTGGGGCCTGCAGGGGCTGCAGCGCCCACGTCTGCAAAAACTGAGGCAAGAGCAGCCCACACGCGAGGCGCCAGGGACACACTCTGTTTCCAGACACAACTTGGTTCTCACCCTCCTGCACTGAAAAGCCTTCCCACTCCCGTTGGAGGCGCTGGGCCCTTCTGGTGCCAGCCCCATTTCTCACGGTCTCTCCCCACAGGCCACTTCTCCAGCCCTGGTCAATGCTCTGGAGCTCAGTCCCAACCCCCGAGGTCAGAGGACATGGCCAAGGGGAGGCTGGGTAGCTGAGCAGGTACTGGCTCCACACGCCGCATGTGTTTCTTCTGATAATTAGCCCGGAAAGCACCGGCAGCTGCGGGAGCAGTGCCACAGTCCCCCCAGCGTAAAATATTCAAGAAGCAACTCCAAACCGAGAGGCTGAGGCTGCGTTCCATGTCAGCCGGGCCCTGGGGAGGGGAGCTAAAAATAGACAGAGGTTGAAGGGGAGCTGCGGGAATGGGGGGGGACGGAGCAGGAGGAGGGGCCCACCATGGGCACCGCTGGAGGGACCGCTTGCACATGCACGTTTGCTGTGTGCAGCACACGTGTGCTCTAGCCCGGGGCCCGTGCTATGCCGGCAGTTCCCAGGGGCAAGCTGCAAATCCCTCTATGGAGAACCTGTCCCGCCAGAGGCTATTTTTACCGATGTTGACATCGGTGGGCCCCAGGACACCTCAGTGAAGAATCAAAGACCATCTTTAACAAGCGAGAAATAACAGCCTGGATCAACATGACACCCGCCACATGCTGGCCTCACACCCAGGGGACACGGTCACCATTGTCTCCCTTCAAGCAAGTACCCCTCCCACACCCTCTGCAGTCCCCGCCTCCGGGCTAGCCACCCCTATACCCTGACTCTCAGCCAGGGTGTAGAATTCTAGAAAGGGCATCCCAGGACTGCTTCCCAGGTGGCTCCGTGACGGTCACAGAGCCAGTAGCAGGGCCTCCTTGATGGAAGGCCATGCTCCACGGGACCCTCAGGTTGGTCTCCACCGGGAGTGGGGGACATGGGGTGCCGAGCCCCCCTTCTAGAGTCCACAGATCACTGGCCTCGCGTGGTCATGGCACTGGTCTCCTCCAGCTGGCGGGATGCTCAGTAGGTATGACGGTCTTGCTCTCACCCAGCGTGCAGGGCACAGTCAGGAGCAGCTGGGAGCAGCGGGGGAAGGGAACGCTCATGGGTGGGCTGACATCAGCCATGCCCGCAGCAGCTGCCAGCCTCCCAGGCAGGTGCCCTCACAGCTCGGAGGCGGCTGATGTCTCCTGCCCTGTGAACATCCCCAACATGCCCCAAAGCCTTCAAAGTGCAGCTCGTCCAGCCTGTCTGAGATCTTACGCCCATTTGGGTAAGCCCCACAGACTCCCACCCGCTCTCTGGCCCCAGCACTGCCCTGTCCCAGCGGGTGGCCTCAGGCGTGTCACTGTCCCCTGGCTCCTCTGTTACAGCAGCAGCTCTGCCATCGGCCCTCACTGCTTCCTTCACCTGGGCAGTTCCCACGAGACAGCGCCTTCCCCTCCTCCCAACTTCAGGCCTCTCTTGAGGCCCTCCTGGGAAGGAACTCGCCCCAGCATACTTCCTGCTTTTTCCCTCAGTGTCCTTGACGCCATCCCACACCCTCTGTTTTCACTTGCTTCCTCTCCCAGTGAGAGGGCCCCAGGGTCAGGGGACAGGTGAGCAGCAGCCACAGCTCAACCTCCAATCCTCACCCACCCCATGTGGTATGGACTATGGCCACCACCGCTGTACAGATGAGGAACCCGAGGCACACAAAAAGCTCACGCCTACAGTAACACAACTAGGAAGTCTAGAGTCTTGACTAGAGCCCAAACGGTGGGACAGCCGTGCCCAGATGTGTCAGCCCTAACAGCACAAGCAGCATCTGCACAAGGAGGGGTTGTGAGGGGTGAAAGGGAGACCAGGGGTCTCCAGGAACCTGCACTGACTGTCAGGAGGGAGAGAGCAGAGCCTAGGAATTGCTTGCAGACATCTCCTGAACCCCAGGGTGTCCCGGAGCTGAGAGGATACTAAAGGGACATGCCAGATGGTTTCAGATGGTGGCAAGTGCCTGAGGCAGCAGCGCATAGAGAGAGGCACCAGATGAGAGCAAGGCCCAAGGTGGTCAGGCAGGGTCCTTTGAGGAGGATGTCTCAGAAATGCTGGAAGGAGCTGCCTCCGGGAGGACTGGGAGAAGGTGGTTCAGACAGCAGGTGGGTGCAAAGGCATCGAGGCAGGAGTGGGTTTGGAAG